CTTGGACTAGATTTCCGATCGAAATACATAAATCTTACCGCGATTGCATTAGACTGGAAAGTCAGTGGCGGAGTTTATGAAGAGCGACCCGCTATAGTATTCTACGTAATTCGCAAGGGTGTGATTCCCCTTGGTGATCAACACTTTCCCAAAATTATTGATGGAATAGAAACAGATGTACGAGAGGGAATTTATCGTACAACTGGCACAGATTCGCATTATTGTCGTAGTTATGAGCCGGTAATTACTTTGGGCTGTAGTATTGGAAACTCAAATAATACCAGTGCGGGAACCTTAGGATGTTTTGCAAAAGATAGCACGGAAAATACCTATATTTTAACGTGCCAACATGTCTTATGCTTGAACGAAGGTTCTGAAACAGGATTAATTTTTCAACCGGCGTATATTGACTATGTAGGGATGCTTAAAAGTGAGAAAAAAATAACAATCGAGAAGATAAAAAAAGCACAGTATATATATAAAGATCAAGAAACAATTGATTTAAACAGCAAAAAACTCGAGACGATTAAAAATGACCTTGAAAGTGCGAAGAAAAAGGACACATTAGTTGGGTCGTTTTACAAAGGATTACGTGATAATTATAAAATTGATGACAAAAATTATGGAGTTGATGCCGCCATAGCTTCACTAGTAGAAACAATTAATGGTAACTTTCGAAAATTTGATCCAGTAGGTTTACCCATATCGGACTTCACATTTAAACGATTGTCACATGAACCTATTAATCTTTCATGTACCATAGATATTATCAACAACCTTGATTCAGTCGATATTTCGCAACCTGTATTTAAAGTTGGACGAACATCTGGACTGACTATTGGACATATAAAAGAAACAATTTTATCATCAATTTTGTTAAGTGGAGTTCATAACGCATTTCACCAACAGGAGAGAATATTTGGGCGTTACTTATTAAAAGAAATTAAACATAAGGGGAAATCTATATTTCCTCCTAAATGGTTAGATAGACAAATAACAGTAATGAATGATGGAATGTTTACGGAAGAAGGGGATTCTGGTTGTATATGGTTTAATAAAAGTGGAGCAGTTATAGCAATGGGTCATGGAAATTTATTTACAAATATTGCAATTTATTCCATAGGATCGCCAATACATGCAGTGGAAAAAGCTCTTAATATAA